GGATTTTCTCACTGTCCCACTGGGAGGTCAGGGTAGGTCATGAGAAAGGTGGGGTGGGGTCTGAGAAGACTTGGGACGTGAGACGACTAGAGGAGTGCCGTCTCTGTGAGACTTGGGCAGATTAGGGGAGCAGCAGAGCCTCACGCTGTTTCTAGAGGGGATTTGGGGCCGGGGGAAGTTGAGTTTCTCTGTCCTGTCCACATCGTCAGGACTTCCTGCTGTTCTGTAGCCTGTGTGCAATTGATTTGGGTCCACAAGGCCTTGGCGCACACCCAAAGCTGGAAGCGGATGCTTAGTAGCTCCGCAGTAGCGCCAGGTGTTCTGTGGATCCAAAGGGATTAACAGCTCCAGGGAGGCTAAGATCTGATTTCTGGGGGATTTCTGTGAACTGAAAGTAGAAGGGCAACAGCAAGGACGCATGCAGGTTCACCCAATTGAGGAGAATGAAGCAAGCACTCCAGGCCAGGAGAGGCGACTTGTGTACAAATACAGAAGAAAGCAGTTTCTAGATCACGGACTATCATCTGCTTACTATTAATGGGGGAAAGGAGGGAAGTGCAGAGTGTGTGTGTGTGTGTGTGTGCATGTGCTGGGCTGGTTGTTTTGTAAACAAGTGAAAAACTAGAATGCCATCACCAGAGTCGGCAATGTCCTTCGCATGAGATATACTCCCTTTATTCTTAACCCTAATGAAGTCCTTGTTAGAATTTGTATCTTCTTTTAGGCTTAAATAAGGGCAGACCCTGAGGACCTGGGGAGGGTTCACAGCAGCATTGTCTAATAGAAATATAATGTGAGCCACATGTGTGATTTTAAAATGTTCTAGTAGACACAGTAAAATGGAACAACTGAAATTTTAATAATAGATTATAACCCAATATATCTAAAAATTATTACTGAGATTGTACATTCTTTATTTTGTACTAAGTTTTTGAAATCCAGTGTCTGTTTTTACACATAATACATTTCACTTCATACTTGCTACATCTCAAGTGTCCAACAGCCACCTGTGGCTACTGGCTACCATCTTGGACAGGACAGGTCCAGAAGAAGCACTATGCAAAGCTGTAAAGTGGTTAGAAAATGGGGACAGGAAAAAAAAAAACATACCTAGAGGGGAAAAAAAAATCTGAGGATAAACAGCCTGCAAAATGAAGGGCTGATTCTTGTGATGGATAGTGATGGTTTCCATTTCCACTGAGGGTCTACCCCCATGCCATGTCTCCATCCCCTGAAAAAAAAAACAAAACAAAACTGGTTTACATTTCAGTTATGTAAGCTATTTCACTTAAATCTAAACAGAGAGAAATTGAGTCTTAGCTAATAGAATAAATGTTTATCTTGACTTCTTCCTTCATTTATTCAACAAATGCTAAGTGAGGCACTCAGTCATCCCTACCTCTCAGGAATGGGGTTAAGTTTGTACTATACAGATGTTAAAGCTATGATGATGATTATTCTTAGCTTGGGGTATGGCCTGAGACCAAGGAAGGTACAAGGTGGGCCATCAGTATCCCTTTTGGTACTATAGTTCACAATTAATGATTGGATGCTATTGCCATACACCATATCTTTTATATAAGGAAATGTCTTTGAACACCTAGAGTAAAAAGTATTCAAGAAGAGAAATGATAGATAGTGCCTGTTTTCAGACAAGGCAGAACTGGGGTATTGCTATCATAGTTACACAAGCAATCTAATCATGATTCAAGAGGGAGGTGGCAGGTGGTATATGGAGATTAGACGTCAAAGGGCTCAGCTCTCACACTACTTTGTGCAAACCTCACAAGGTCAGGTCCCAGCCACCTGGCAAAGGCCTAACGTCCTGAGACATTGTGGAAGAAGCATGAAATGGGCCCTTTCATTTTGTCCCTTCCTTTACTTCTGTCAGAGTCTGAGGTGACTTGTTTGAGTGATTGCAGTTTAGAAGGAGTTTAGAGAACTCAAAGACTCTTCCCAAAAGGACAGGAGTATAGAAGTGGGACCGGGCACAGTGGCTCACACCTGTAATCCCAGCACTTTGGGAGGCCGAGGTGGGTGGATCATTTGAGGTCAGGAGTTCGAGACCAGCCTGACCAACATGGTGAAACCCCATCTCTACTAAAAATACAAAAAAAAATTAGCTGAATGTGGTGGCCCACGCCTGTAATCCCAGCTACTTGGGAGGCTGAGGCAGGAGAATTGCTTGAACCTGGGAAACGGAGGTTGCAGTGAGCCCAGATTGTGCCTGGGTGACAGAGCAAAACTCCGTCTCAAAAAAAAAAAAAAAGTAGTGCCTGGGATGGAACTCCTCTGAGCCTTAAATTCCTTATTCTGCACTCCTCAAGTCAGAGGGTTAGTACAAAAGTCAGGTATGTAACGGACCTATATATCCTTGTAAAATATCAGGTTCTTTTTACTGTATTTGATTCACTGATCCTGTTTTCAGCACCAAATTGTTTGCCAGATAATTGATTCCAGTTACTCCTTTGGGATGAGTGAAGCTGAGTGGAAGGATGCTAGGTTTCTGTAAGCTATGGAGATCTTGCCAAGAGATTGTCTATATCCTCTCTTTTTTTTTGTATTGCATTTGACCTGAGGTCATGAGGCCACCAGTTGGAATTTGGAAATATTTTATTTTTTATGAGAACTTTTGTTTTCATGAGGTGTGACCCAGACCACCGGTCTTGGCATACTGTAGCCAAAGAATCTCAGTGTAGGGCAGTTGAGGTCCTCTGCACCCTTGCTGCCTAAAGTTGATCTGTGAACCAGCAGCCTCAGTACTACCAAGTAGAAATGCAGAATTTCACAATACAGTCCAGGTGTATCAAGTCAGAGTCTACATTTTCACAGGGTCCCAAGTGATATGTATATATACATTAAAGTTTAAGAAGGATGGCTCTACAATATCCCAATTAGTTAGAGTCTACAGCAGCCTCAGCTTAAACAGCTGCCATGGCAGCCAACTCATTTCCTCTTGTGGCAACCCCTTGTATTGTTGGATTGTTTGGAAGTTCTCCCTTCTGTCATGTTAAAATCTGCATATCATTATCACCCACTCAAGGTGCCCAGAGTAAGTTTCATTCTTCTGAAAGCCCACATAGAAGTTACTTGGAAATGTCCATTTCTTTCCTTTGTGATACGGACACCTTAATCCAGAGGCGGTGAGTGGAGTGTGGGTGGTAAGTGGAGCCACACGAGGTCGGCTCCCAGTCACCCGGCAAAGACCTAACATCCAGAGTCATTGCAGAAGGAGCATGACATGGCCCCTTTAGTTCTGCCTCTTCCTTTGCTCCTGTCAGAGTGCAGGGTGACTGGTTTGAGTGGTTGCAGTTTAGAGGGGGTTTGGAGAACTTGAAGAGGCTTCCTGAAAGGACAGGGGTATTGAAATGATGCCTGCAATGGAAGTTAGTCCTGCAGGGCTTGCTAACGGATGAAGACATTTCCAGTGGAGGTGAACAGGAGGGGGTGGTCTGGTGGAGGGGAAAGAGCAGCGAAGCCACTTTACCTCTTACTTGCTGTGTGATATTGAGGAATGCACGAAACCCCTTTGAGCATCAGCTTCCTTGGTTTTTAAAGAAAACAATGACAAACCCTGTCTTTCCTGACTCCAGGGTTTCTGAGGGACTCACTGAAGATGAGGTCAATGAGCACACTCTATAAAGTAGAAGATGGTCTGAGGATGAAAGACAAGGTCAGATGGGACAATAGATGAAGCCAGGAGAAAAGCCTACCACTGACTTGCTGTGTAACCTCAGGGGAGGCTCTCACTCTCTCTGTCTCTCTGTGAAACAAGTGGGTCATACACAAAAGATTTCTAAGTGCGCGTCTAGAAGGCCCTGGAATTGTGGCCTATTGCTTTTTTTTTTTTTGAGACAGGGTCTTGCTTTGTCACCCAGGCTGGAGTGCAGTGTTGTAATCATGGCTCACTGCAGCCTGAATCTCCCTGGCTCAGTTGATCCCAAGCAGCTGGGACTACAGGTATATGCTGCCACACCTGGCTAATTTTTGTATTTTTTTCATAGAGACGGGGTTTTGCTTTGTTGCCCAGGCTGGTCTCCAACTCCCAGGCTCAAGCAGTCCTCCTGCCTTGGCCTCCCAAAGTGCTGGGATTACAGGCATGAGCCACCATGCCTGGCCGGCCTGTTGCTATTATTGCATGTTACCTGGAGGATTTTTTCAAGGTTGGCTCTTCAGGGTATTTACTTAGAAAAACTTCCTAGAGCTTAGAATTGAATCCTCTCTGGGGGACATGGTTCTAAACACTCTTCTAGTGAAGGCCTGGCCCCTGCAATGGAAGCCCCACTCAAAAGGCGGGTCTGCTTGACCATGTGTTTCTGTGTCAGCATGTGGTACCTGGGTTGGTAAGTGAAGAGTGACAGTTTTGTCACACACAGTCCTATTTCTGGAAGCAAGCTCTGTCCTACAAGCTATCTGAACTCATCTCATACCTCACCGGAGTGTGTCATTTGCAGATTTTTCCAGGGGAATGATCTTGGTTGATACTTCAAATCTTACCAAGGAAGTTTTCAAAATGTTACTGCCTTTTCTAAGTTTCTGAAATACAGCAGACCTGATGGTTCTACGGGCCTGCTCTGCTAGAGGGGCCTTCCTGTCAACAAAATAACCAAAACTGGCTTTGGGTTCAGCAGCCTTCCCTAGATACTTACTAGCCGAGCGTGAGGGGACCAATATGTGTGAAGGGACATGGCTAAGATGGCCTTTCTGAGTCTCTCTCCTACCAATCTGGGGACTCTGTGTTGTTCATCCTCACCTCACTGCAGCCATGTTTCCAGTTTCCCATTTCATTTCCCGGATGCTTGCTTCTAACTCTACATTTGCGTTTTCTTCTGTGCACCCACCGTGTTGTTGTGGAGACTTGGTGGCCATAGGCCGCCAGTATCCGGTGTCATCCAAGCGTGATGGTGTGGTACGTGGATTTGCTCATGCTTTTATTTTGAATCCTTTCCAATGTGACATCTGCTAAAATGTCTCCCTTATAATTTGCTTGGTGATCACAGCTTTCTCATCATTCATTGAGAGCAGGACCTGATCTCACAGAATCTGAAAAGAGCTATGTGGTAAGATGCCTGTTGAATAAGACTGCAGCCTTTCCAAAGAGAATTTTTACTGATCCTGCTTTTGGAATCTAGACTAGAATGATGCCTGGTTAACCCACAGAAACATTATTTACAAGAATTCTGTGGCTATTATAGTAGAACGAGATGTTAGGCCACTCCCTTACCCCCAGCCCCTGGTAAAGAGCAGCGGAATTTAGAGACAATATTTCTACTTTGCCTATATGTGGGATTACATTAATGTATTAGTGCATGATCGGGGATACATACTTGCATTTCTACCCTAAAGTATTCCATTTGTAACAGTTACTCACTAATTACAGGCTTTTATGCTGCTTCCTTTTTTTTTTTTTTTTTTAATATTCTTACTAAATTCCAAATTCTTCTGTATCTTACCTGTTTTTCCATGCTTACGCCTGGATCCCTCCTGCACTCCACTACTGGAATATCTATTTTTTTAACCTGGATCTTCAACTCTGTTTTCTCCCTGGACTTATGTGCTTCGTCTGGAATGTTACATCTCTTCCTCTCTTTCTTTTTTTTTGTCCCCATGTTGACTGTTTTATTGGGGTTTCTGGATATCTTGGGGCCACCTCACAGGAAGCGGTTTGCAATGAGATCATAAACATTGCCGAAAAATCTGTTCATTACTGCAGCACTGTTTCTCATCCCCTTGACTTTCATCACAAGGTATCCCCTTCTGACAATAAATCATCTTTAATCATTTCTCAGCAACCTCAAGCCCAGCAGCGAAGAGTCACCCCCGACAGGAGTCAAACCTCACAAGATTTGTAAGTACTCCTGGTGAACTTCAGTTCTCATGTTCCCAGAGGACTGTTGGTCTTAAAAAGCGGGTCACTGGCTGAATATGGGGCAGTTGTTTCCAGAAATGAGTGAATTACTCCCAGGTTCTCTCCTAAGGATTTCTAGTGAAGGACATGTTCCGCATCAGCCGAGGTGAAAACAGGTGGCAGGTAAATAAAGGCCGTCATAGACTGCTGGGAGAGAGAGACAGGTAAAGATTAACTGCTGTAGAATGGCAAATGAGAGCTGTGCTGACTGATTTCAGTGCTAGTGTAGCAGGAAGTTAGAGGAAGGAATGGTTCATTCTGACCAGCCATGAATGAAAGGGTTGCTTCATTCATTCATTCATAAAAAATTATTGGATACCTCCTATGTTTTAAGCACATAGGAGAAAACTCTGTGCACAGAGAAAGAGAGATTTGGACCAAGCACTGAAAGACAAATTGGTTTCTGAGAGCTACAAAAGGGAGGAAAATATCTTCCCAGAGGTGAGGACCACATGTGCAAGGGCATAGAGTGGGTGTATTTGGAGAACTTGAAAGAGCCCGTGTAGCTGCAGCATATGCTTCATGGAAGAGATAGAGGTGAAGCCCAGAGGTGGGATGGGACCAGATGGTAGATTCCAGAAGGCAGCTGAAGTAAGTTTGGATTTTATTCTGTAGGTACTAGGGAGCCACTGAAGGTTTTTGAAGTAAGGAACATATTGATCATATTTTGTTTTAGGGAGATAACTCTGGCAACAGAGTGGAGGGTAGATTTCATAGACCAGGGACAAAGATGTTTGTTAGAAGACATCAATCCAGCTAAGAAGCCATGAGGGCCTGAGCCAGGACACAGTGGGCATTTTGTAACCGTCGAAGTGAGTATGATTACCAACAGAGATAGAGGTAAAGAAGCCTAGCCAGCCACAGAGACAGAGAAGGGGCAACAGGAGATGCCAGTGAGGGTCTAAAGACGTTCGCTTTCACAGAACAGCTGCAGCATCTGGCAGCAGTGTCACCTGCCCAGAGAGGCCAAGAGTGGGAAATGAGAAATTTCTACCAGGCATTTTCCATAGCAACTGGAAAAATCCCTGGTGACCTCTGATATGGCAGGGTTGGTGTTAGTAGGGGTGGCAGCAGGTGCTGTGTTAGGAAGGGTCGATGGTGAGTGGAAGGCGGGGGGCTATAGATCAAGGAAATAGCAGAGGCAGGGGAGGTGTTTTTAGGGTGCAGAGACAAGCACATTTGTACCAGAGTAAAATGTCAATTAACGCAAATAAGATCTAAGTGAGGCCAGGTGCTCACAGCTGTAATCCCAGCACTTTGGGAGGACAAGGTGGGTGGATCACGAGGACAAGAGATCGAGACTGTCCTGGCCAACATGGTGAAACCCTGTCTCTACTAAAAATACAAAAATTAGCTGGGCGTGGTGGTGCGCACCTGTAGTCCCAGCTACTCCGGAGGCTGAGGCAGGAGAATCGCTTGAACTCGGGAGGCAGAGGTTGCAGTGAGCTGAGATTGCACCATTGCACTCCAGCCTAGAGATAGATCAAGACTCTGTCTAAAACAAAAAGGAAAAAAAAAGAAGTAAGTGAAGGAAGAGCCCAGGAAGGGGGTTCAACATGGCTTGGAGAAGGGACCTTTCTTTCCTCATGTGTGGGAGCAGAGGCAGGAAGGTGAGTGGAGGCACAGAGACTTAAATCTTGAGGGGAGGAGGATTAAGGTGCTGCCCACAGCAAGCTTCCAACTCCAGAAGTGGGGGTAGAGTGAGAGCTCTTGGCTGAGCTGGGGACACCAGGATTGGCAGGAGAGCTGGGGGAAGGACCCCATGGGACAATGTTCTGAGGAGTATGAGGTTCATCCCAAATTAGAACTGACTGGGGGACCCAAGCAACAAGAGTGTGGGACTTTGTCCAGCCAGTCTCCACTGTCTGGGAGTGAAAACAGAGAAGCAGATATTGGAGTTATTTCCCAGGGCTGAGGCTGGCAAAGCAGCCATGGTGGGAGTTAAAGGGCCCAGGCATTCTAAGAAACTGGCAAGAGCATGTTTTGGGAGGCCAGTAGGGGACTCCAAATTGAGTAGGAGACAGCAGGCAAATACAGAAACATGTAAAAAAAAAAAAAAAAGTATTTACCAATTGGAAATTGATCTTCATCTCTTAATTCCTCATTTGAGACCTTCCTTCTGGCAACCAGATCCATCCACCAAATTATCAATACGTTTGGATAAATATGGAAAGTAAAGTTGTCCCTTTGGTTTTAGCAGAGAAGAATGAACCTCTCGTTCCTGGGAACTGACTCCACTTGCTTGTTTCTAGTCTTTCTTGCTCACACACTGGAATTCATTGACATCTACTGGAAATGGTAGATGATTGGCCCATTTACAGTTTTGCCTGCTACTGTTGTGTCTCAAAATAATAAACAGAGTTGTGAAGTTGGTGCATAGTAGGTGCCTCTTATGTATTTGTTGAAGAAATAAATAAAAACAAAGCTTTTCCTTGATGCCAAAGCAAGGATCAGATTTCACCACAAGCAGTTCAGCTGTCTGCAGTGGCTGTTAGAACAGACAAAACAGCATAGACCCAATGCCTTAGGCCAACTAGCAAGTAAATAAAAATCTTGCCCTCAATGCTCACTGGGATAGAAGAAAGAAAAAAAGCTTTCAAGGGTTTCAGAAAAATGACATCCACATTTAAAAGCAGTGAATGAAATGTGTTCAGGCATGTAAAGAAACTCAAGATAGTTTTGCTAAACAGTGAAGCAATTGGAATGTACTTTTAATAGCATATATATAGCTATTATATGTATTATATATGGCTATTATACACACACACTTTTTAAAAAAAACGAATGTTTTATGTTCTCCATTTGTATGACCAGAATGTAATGTCTCTGGGCCCAAATAACTTCTGATTGTGCTTCATAATCTACATAGATTATCCTATGTTAAGGAAAAGGCTTGGTTTACTTTAAAGCAGGGGTCCCCAATCCCCAGGCATTAGCACCTGAGCTCTGCCTCCTGTCAGATCAGCAGTGCATTAGATTCTCACAGGAGCACGAACCCTATTGTGAACTGCACATGTGAGGGATCCAGGTTACGCCCTCCTTATGAGAATCTAACTAATGTCCCGATGGTTTCATCCCCAAACCATCCCCCAGACCTCACCCCGTCTGTCGAAAAATTGTCTCCCGCGAAACCAGTCCCTAGTGCCTAAAAGGTTGGGGACCACTGCTTTAAAGGCAGAGGTCGGCCGGGCGTGGTGGCTCACGCCTGTAATCCCAGCACTTTGGGAGACCGAGGCGGGCGGATCACGAGGTCAGGAGATCAAGACCATCTTGGCTAACATGGTGAAACCCCGTCTCTACTAAAAATACAAAAACTTAACCAGGCGAGGTGGCGGGCGCCTGTAGTCCTAGCTACTCGGGAGGCTGAGGCAGGAGAATGGCGTGAACCTGGGAGGCGGAGCTTGCAGTGAGCCGAGATCGCCCACTGCACTCCAGCCTGGGCGACAGAGCCAGACTCCGTCTCAAAAAAAAAAAAAAAAGGCAGAGGTCGGGGTAGAGTGGGAGGTGCTCTAGATAAAAAGGCTTGGCTGTGGTGACCAAATGAAGCTAAGTAAGAGGACTGATCATGGCTTGCTTGTCAGAAGTTCTCCGTCCATCAGCCTTAATTAACTTATATGTGGAATGCATCTCCACAGATGCTAAGTTATTAGGGAAATAGTCAATAAAATGCTTTTATCCCTACTGATAAGTAGGAAACACTACTGAAATGTTGATTGAACTTGAAATGGAGTTTAAAAATTCATTATTTAATCCTGTCAACATTTGAGTCACTTACTATTCATTTTTTTCATGTATAGATTTAGCTATCAAGCATTATATAGCTATATACCACAGAATGATGATGAGTTGGAACTCCGCGATGGAGATATCATTGATGTCATGGAAAAATGTGACGATGGATGGTTTGTTGGTAAGAATCTCATCATGCTTTTCTTACTAGTTGTGTATTGAGGGAATAACAGGGGGCGAAGAGCCATGCAAAAAGCAAAGCAATCTTCTCTGCACAGAAAGAAGAGCCTTCTGAGCTTTTTACAACCTTGGGAATTCTGGGCCACCAGTCTGTGTTGCTATTAGGATGGTGTGGATGCTGCTTATGTTGAACCTGAAACCAAATCTGCTGCACAGAAGAGCAGTAGTCAAATTTATTAATTGGGTTTCCATTTATTTTTTATTTTTTTATTTTTATTTATTTATTTATTGAGACAGAATCTCGCTCTGTCGCCCAGGCTGGAGTGCAGTGGCGTGATCTTGGCTCACTGCAACCTCTGCCTCCCAGGTTCAAGCAATTCTCCTGTCTCAGTCTCCCAAATAGCTGGGACTACAGGCACCTGCTACCACGCCTGGCTAATTTTTGTATTTTTGGTAGAGATGGGGTTTCACCTTGTTGGTCAGGCTGGTCTTGAACTCCTGATCTCAGGTGATCCACCCGCCTCGACCTCCCAAAGTGTTGGGATTACAGGCGTAAGCCACTGCGCCTGGCCCTAGTTTCCACTTACATTTATATTGTGCATGTGTCTATTTTGCATCTGGAAATTTTATCTTTAAAACCCTTGTGAAATAACACAAGAAAATTTTTGACTGACCCTGTGTCTCCACCATGAAACTCAGGCATATGTGTAGACATTCTAAAGACCTTGTTTCCTCCAGGCCTTTCAGTAGTATTAATCACAGACAGCCCCCCTTCCCTTCGCCATTCCTGTATAAACAGAAGGAGACCGAGATCAACAACTTATTGAGATTCTGTTACAGAACCAGGACACTGTGTTTGTTATGCTTTTATTGACAATTCTCCTCAACAAACAGCTCAGTAAGCATAAGAATTATCCTCATTTATCAGATTCAAAGACTGCAGGTTCACGAACACAAGAAGGATCAATTCTAGTGTGTACGCAATATTGTGGGGCCAGGATTCATAGACTCAGCCACCCATCTCCTCCTGCGCAAATCTGTGTTCTTTCTCGCTCAGGCATGCATATTAGATGGTTGCCGGGGGGGCGCAGGATACTGACCCACTCTTTTGCCTCCAGTTCTCCATAGGGCCAGATGACCTTTACCTTCATCATTCTTTCCAAAGACCAGCCTATCCCTGTTTTTCTGCGCAAAGCCTTTGTTAAAGCAAAGTAATACTCCGGAGACATGGGGGTGGTGAGGACAAGCAAGACTACTGAATGGAGAATCAGAAAAGATTTACGTTGTGCACACCAGCCTCTTAGCGAGGAACTACCCCCAATCCTCCAAGGTCCACAGAAGCCCACAGCCTACTACCGCACTTGAGGAGTCTGTTCACTGGCTAGAAATCAGGTTGAAGGCTCGGGCCGCGGTGGCTCACACCTGTAATGCCAGCACTTTGGGAGAGGCCGAGCGGGTGGATCACCGAGGTCGAGAGGAGATGAACGACCATCCCTGGCTAACCACGTGAAGACCCCGTTCTTCTATTAAAAATACAAAATATTAGCCGGGCCGTGGTGGGCGGTGCACCTGTAGTCCCACTACTGGGAGGTCTAGGCAGGAGAATGGCGCGTGAACCTGGAGCGCGGAGCTGCAGTGCAGCAAGATCGCGCCGGCTGCACTCCCAGCCTGGGTGGCAAGCGAGACTATCCGTCTCAAAAAAAAAAAAGAAATCACGGTGCTGAGAAGGTCAAATGACCACCTTCCAGGGCAGCACAATCCAATAGAACACACCGTGTAAGCCTGTGGTATGAATTATAAAAATGTCTAGAGGCCACATTGAAAAGAGTAAAAAGAAACCAGTGAAATTATTCTAATGTATTTTGTAAACCCAGTGCGTTCAAAATGCGAATCATCTGAACATGTAATCAATATTAAAAATTGTTACTGAAGTTATTTACAGACATCTTTTCATCTAAAGTCTTTGAAACCCAATGTTGATTTTATAGTTTAACGCGCGCTCGTTTCAGACTAGCTGCATTTCAAGTGCTCAGTAGTCACCACATGGCTTATCATTTAGAGTGCAGCTCTATAACGCACTAGCTGTTAAACTTGTTCAGCAGTATGTTTTTTTTATGAGAACTTAGGTGTGGGAGAGCACCAGTTCTCTAACAGCAGCCTGCCAGGCAGCTGGGTAAAGGAAGTGTTTTGGGATGAGTATCTTCCTTGCATCCTTGAACCCTTCACTCTTTTTTTTTTTTTTTTTTTTTTTGGATATAGAGAGTCTTGGGTTTGTCCACCGGCGTGTACAGTGGCATAGAACTTGGCTCACTGCAGGCTCTGTCCCAGGTCAAGCGGCTTCTCCTGGGTCAGCCCTCCCAAGTAGCTGGGACTACACAGTCCAGCATCACCCCACGCGTAGCTAATTTTTATATTTTTAATGGAGATGGGGTTTTACCATCTTGGCCAGGCTGGTCTCAAACTTCTGACCTCAAGTGATCTGCCTGCCTCAGCCTCCCAAAGTGCTGGGATTGCAGGCGTGAGCCACCATGCCCAGCCTCCTTGGTCACTTCGAAAAGTAGCGTTTTCAAACTACAAATAAAGTAGCCTAGCAGAACTCATTTTTCTCATCCATAAGGAAAGATGCTAACTAGCTATGTGGCCCTAGGCAAGTTTATTATTATCTCTGGACCTTACCATCTCAGTTATCTAGCCTTCTTAGCCATTCTCCGTAGGAGTTCAACTAGATGTTTTAGGTGTCCTAAGTTTTAACATATTTTTTTTAGCTTAGAAGTTTCACTTTGGGTACTAATTCCAACCCACTGGTAGTGGCTGCTTGAGATGTTGTGTGCAACAGGATTCCGAAGCCAAATCTAAGCCAATTGTGATAAGGGTGCAATTATCAAATTGGGATGTCTGCTAAAGAGAGGATAATGATGACACAACATATATCTGCCACTCCTGCTTTAGAGAGAGAATCCCAAGGGAAGGAACTAGATTAAGGATCAGCAGTGCTGCCTGTGGAGCAGCCCACGAAGGGCTTTGTTCCCAGATGGCTCAGTGCTCCTGGCTTGGCAGGAGCCCTAACAAGGTTAGTACCAAAGATAGGGACTCAACTGGGGGCTTAGGCACAAGCTTGATAGGAATTTCCTTTTGATGGGTGGCCATAGTCAGTGGGCTTTCAGAAACTGCATGGTTTAGAAAATCTAAATCCCAGGTATCTTCTTGTGTCAGATAAATGTGTGAATTCCTCCACAAAGCAGAACTGTTGGAAAGAGCAATGGACTGGGAGTCAGAAGACCTCGGTTCAGATTCTGCCTCTGATACTTACTAAGTGGTGGGACCTCAGACATGTTATTTCCACTCTCTGAACCTGGGTTCCTTCTTCTGAAAAACAAGAGTACTAGAAATGCCTACATTGCTTACCACCCAGCATTATTTGGCAGCCTAAGTGAGATAAGGTAGGGGAAAGGACTTTGGAAACCATATGGTATTGTCTAAGCTGCAGGACTGTTAACAAGGGGCGTTTGAGCAGACATCCCTGCAGTGTGCTGTCTCAAGTGAGTGGGTCTTCTCATGTTTTGTATGTGTGTGCTTTTTTATAGGTACTTCAAGAAGGACAAGGCAGTTTGGTACTTTTCCAGGCAACTATGTAAAACCTTTGTATCTATAAGAAGACTGAAAACCATGGAGATTATTTTTATTGGAGGATGAAGCATCATTCATGAACGGATCTTTTTAGTTGAGTCAGTAGGAAAATTAATACAGTGGATAAAGTAAGAAGCAAAAGACAGGGACAGAGAAGTGTTGTGTTTAAAACCCAAGCCTGTCTAAGGTTACTGTGTATTAGACAGGGCTGAACTAGTGTGCTGAACAAGAAGAATGGAGACAAATTGTATTTACTTAGCCGCTTCTGGGAGCCACTCCAGCCTTTCCCCTCCCCCCCACCTCTTGGGTAATCTGACCTGAAGCATAGTCTGGGATCAGAGTTAGCCAGAAATGCCTCCTCCTGCCCCAGCCTTAGAGAGCTTCCATCTCAAAGGAATCATTGATCCTGAAGGCTTCAAGCCCAAGGATGCACCAAGACCCCCAGCCTACATTTCCCAGCTCCCCTGGAGCCAGCTGATCCTCTAACTGCTGGAGGTCAGTCTGGGCTGCCAATACTGTCCCCTAGACAAAGGTGGAGTCCCCCAAACTGCCCCAAGACCAAATCCCTCACTCAACCTGCTGAGGTGTGGATGGGGAAACAGAGGCAAAACTTAGGCACCCACAGCATTCAGCCTGCTGTGTAGCAGTGCCGTTGACTGCCCTGGTGTTCAGACAGAAAAGCACACAAGGTTTGCCCATGAGAACTGGGGAGCAGATGGCCAAGCAGATAGGTTATGTCTGTTTTCTGAGTGATGAAGTCAGGAAGCCCTGTGGCTCTGGAGGCCACTTGTGGTTCATTCTTTTCCCGTATCCTTGGCTTTTAGAAATGGTTACCTTCAGGACAGCGCAGCTGCATTTTTCAGAGCACTGTTGCTAACCTTTCTTTTCTGGCTTGTGTTTGCCTGGGACAGTTTGGAATTGGGAGGCCTACTCTCATAGAAAACCAAAAATGATGTTCATTCATTCATTTAACATACAGCAATATACGCTGGCTGCTGGGGGGACAACCAAAAGCAAGACATGCCCAGGGTTTGCTGTGGCTCCAGATCTACTCCCTGTAGGAGTTCAAGGATCACACAAAATGTAGTAACCAGGGTTGTGAATCTGAGTACACCCTGGCAAGGCTTCTCTTCAGACTGAAGCAGCAATTCTGCCACTACCAGCAGCAACCAGGACGTCTGTTCTTTGTGGGGGCCAGATCAGAAGAGAGAGGCTCCTGTGACACCTGGGGTGCGTGGTCACAGCTCTGTCCAACTCAAGGACGTTTATCGGCCTCTCTTAGACCCCCGAGTGAGACAAATGCAGAAATGACCCATTCCCTGCCCACCAGGAACTCGAGGTGATTGGGGAGGCAGACACAGGAAAATGAACTTAATCAAGAGAGACTGTGATAAGTGCTGAGAAGGGCGTGAGGGAGGAAGAGATGAATTTTCCCTGGAGGAATCCTAGAAAGCATTGTCATATTTCCCATCTCCATTAGCTCACTTTTAAACAACTAGGGTGCTGGAAGAACCTTTGTCTGAGGGTAGTTCATAGCTGGAAATACCTGGAATATTTTCCAGAGTCTCCAAACTGTCATCTTCCCCCACAGATACACATCCAAGCTCACAAATAGGAGTAACAATTATAGGCGGTAGGGTTGTATACAGGAAGCCCTGGCTGTCTGCATGTAGCTCAGAATTACCCCAGGACCATTGTCCCAAAGTCTAGAGTCCTTACAGGTAGGCAAAATTTGTTTTCAATGCCTGTGGCTCAGCTGCTGTCACAAATACCCATCTTAGGATCCCACCAGCTTCCCACCCTCCACCAGACAGCCGCAGTACCCTCACTTTCTCCCTATTGTTCTTTCAAATCCTGTTCTCAGGAAAGAAACTGCCACTAATTCATTCACACTGAAGTGTAAGTGATTGATAATAGGAATGAGTTACCTCTTCCCACAGACATTTGTTTTTAAGTATGACAGAGCAGGGCCTTAATCCCAAGGGAAAAGGCTATGGCACTGGAGGGGGTGAGCTTTCTGGGTAGAAGGAGACGTCCTGATTTTCCTTAAGACCCAGTAAGAGTAAGACGTATTGCTTTGGAAGGTCTGCTCCACCATCTAAGAGCACTGGTTTTTTGTTGTTGTTGTTGTTGTTGTTTTTTTTTTTTTTTTTTTTTACTGTCTCTGAGGGAGTATAGTAAAAATGCATATGCACGTGCAATTTGCACGGCAGCATTTCACCGATTTTGGAATGTATTGGCTAATGTATTTCCTGGTCTTTAGATGCAAACGATTAATAACACTATCTTATCTAATAGTTTTTTGAGGGGTGCTTCTTGATTAAGTAGGTAATTTTGAACACCTCTTTAAATACAGCTAGAAAATAAAACCAATTTGTAAAGCCACATTTGCATATGATGCCAGCCTCACGCATTTGTATATCTCCAGAAATTCAGGTGTGCCTCACCAATTTGCCCGTCTTTAATGAAATCATGTGTTAAAATTTGCATCACGTCGCCTTCCTATGTATGATGAAACAAGGAACAGAGGTTTCCAATTGCTCTTTTGTCTTCAGACATTTAGTAATATAAAGTACCTATTTTTATGCTGAAATGTTTATACAGGTTTATTAATAGCAAGTGCTACTAACTGGCGGCATGCCTTGCAACACATTTTGATATATTAGCCATGCTTCCGGGTAAAGGCAAGCCCCAAACTCCTTATCTTTTGCAGTCTCTCTGGGATCAGTAAAAGAAAAAAAAAAAACATCATGTGCTTAAGAAGTGGGACTGTAAATATGTATATTTAACTTTGTATAGCCCATGTACCTACCTTGTATAGAAAAATAATTTTAAAAATTTGAATGGAAGGGGGTAAAGTAAGGAAGTCATGAAGTTTTTTGCATTTTTATTTAAATGAAGGAATTCCAGATAACTCACCTACAGATTTTTAGCACAAAAATAGCCATTGTAAAGTGTTAAAGTTTATGATAATTATTCTATTGGGGAGGGAAGGTAACTATGATCTCAGTTATAGTTTTTTTTCCTTTTTAATTTCATTATTTTGGTTTTTTGGTTTTTGCAGTCCTATTTATCTGCAGTCATATTAAGTCCTATTGCTAGAATAGGTTACTACAAAAAAGATTATATTCTGAAAGAAAAATAACTGACATATATAACCAATTAATTTAAAGTATTGCCATTTAAATTACACACTGAGAGCATGTCCTATGCAGACATAGATTTTTCTGTTCGTTTATTTTTCTTCATTGCAGTGGATTGATTTGATAAATAGATGTGTTGAATTACTACATTTGCTGTACATATTATTTAATAAACTTTATTCAGAATTGCGTGGCATATGTTTGTTCTGGTCATTCATTGTTTCTTTCCTTCCTTTGCCAAGCTTCTCAAATGAGGCTTAAATTCACTGCTTCAATTTCTAATACCGTCCTTTCCATTCTTAATCATTTACCATCTGCCTTCTGCCACCTCCTTGAAGACACCACTTCTTACCTTACTTTTTTCTGAATAACCAAACTCCTGACCCTCTGAATTAATTGATTACTGTTGACCATTTTGCCATTATTTCTAAAATATGTTTGTATTTGTTCTGATAACAAAAGTAATGCACAAATGTCTTTAAAAACAAAAGTAAAACATTATAAAATATGTATAACGGGTCTAGATTTGCTGTATAAAACATGGGTATGGGAAATGACATAGCACTTTGTTTTTCTAAATAAAATTAATCTGGCTGTGAGTCCTCTCTTGGTATGGGTGGGTGAAAATGCAATCTGTCCTTTTTCTCCTCCAAACCAAATGTGTTAAGGCACTAGGCATGCAGTCTCCCCTGGCATCCCATGGCTACAACTACCGCCATCTTAGTCTGGGATGGGGTCTGCTGTACACAAGGCACGGATCTGTCCCCTAATAGGAAAGCTCACGCCTCTACCCTTTCTCCCTGGGTTCTGTCCTCCACCTCCAACTAAATGCACCAGTTTGCAATGCTGCCTCTGGAGTAACTCGGTGTACCTGGGCCTCAAACAGGTGTAGGAGAGGGGCCTAACAGTCTCTTCTTTCAAGGGTCTGACAGTCTTTAACACTAGGCCCTGAATCACAGGCCCTATGAACCCTTGTCTCCAACAAATCCGTCAGCTTACCTCCTAACTACTTTTAGAAGCCAACCACTTCTACCATTATAGTCCAGGCCGTTTTCTCTCACCTGGATCATTGCAATAACTTTCTAACTGGCTTCCCTGCTTCTGCTCTTGCCCCCTCTAGTCTTGTCTAGACAGAGCAACCAGAGTGATCATCTAAACGTTGGTCCAAAACCCTCTAGTGGTTTCTCATCTCGCTAATGTGGTACAATGGCAAGTTCGTAGACATACTGCTCCTCCCCTCCCCCTGACCCCTGAATTATCTCCTTCATTCCAGCCACACCGCCCTCTTTGTGGCCTCAGACTCATTAAGCACATTTGAGGTTTAGGGTCTTCATGTTTGCAATCCCCTGGAAAGCCCTTTCCCCAAGAGCTGCATGGTTTTCTTCCTCCTTTAGGTCTTCCTGTTGTCTTCTCAATGAGGCTTTCTGTGACTACTTTACATACATTTAGGAAACTAGTGTCCCCACCCCCTGCATTCCATCCCCCTCTTCCTGCTCTGTTTCTCTATAACACTTATCACCATCTGAGATTTATCTTCACAAGCAATCCTGTAAATTTGGTGGGGTTAGTGACTCTGCTCTGCTCATATATGCCTGGCACCAAGAATAGAGTCTAATGTGGCACTCAATCCTTTGTTGATCAAACAAACGGATAAAGAAGCCCTTGAGACCAGAGATCCTAGAACTCAGAATATGTTCTACCAACAATGAAAGAAGGGAAACCATTTTCTTACAGTAGCAGAAACAACGAATTAATCTTTCATATTATGCTGGTTTCATACAAACATAGAAAGTGAAAGTTCTGCGTAATAACACTCCTCACAGAGATCACTCCAATATATGGTCCTCCCAGCTTGCGTCTCTGCACATACTAAACACACACGTCTCTAAAATGCTTTATGTAGTCTCATACACTTTTACTTTCCTTTGGTAGAACTTGGATGTGTTTCCATAACTTACTTAACCCATCCTCTATTGATGATGCAAGTATTTGAGGTTATTGCCAGCTTTTTACCACAACAAACAATGCTGCTTTGAGTAGAATTATTGGCTCATAGAGCAGGAACATTTCAAACCTTAAGAGATTTCCAAATTGCCTTCCCAAAAGTTCCAATTATACTCCCATCAAGTCCATGGAACTGTGTTTCCCACCACCCAGTTAAAACTCCTACATTGTCTGCTTCCATGAGTTGCTGCTCCTTGGTTCACCTGCTTTTGGCTGGCCAGCCCCTTCTTCATCCTCTTTCTAGATCTTCACTGCATTCTCAGCCCTCTGTTATTTTCTCTCAACACATGCTCCTGCGGAGAGCAGATCTCTCCCAATCTAATTATGGCCCAAAGGGTCAATTGTGGGAAGGCCCTTTCAATGATTAAATGGTAGACGCCTAGGCTGGGCATGGTGGCTCACTCCTGTAATCCCAACACTGGGAGGCCGAGGTGGGTGGATCACCTGAGGTCAGGAGTTCGAGACCAGCCTGACCAGTATGGCGAAACCCTATCTCTACTAAAAATACTAAAATTAGCCGGCCGTGGTGGCGTGCGCCTGTAATCCCAGCTACTCGGGAGGCTAAGGCAGGAGAATTGCAGGAACCCACGAGGCAAAGGTTGCAGTGAGCTGAGATCGCGCCACTGCATTCCATCTCAAAAAAACAAAAACCTAACACTACTGCATTGGCTGAGACATACCAAAAGGCGCTGGAACTAGCCTCAGTCAGGGGTTAATCCAGAGACTCAAACTCTCATCAGTATTTGTCTTATTCTTGGCGTTTTGTTTGGCTACATTTTCACCTACTGAATGCCCCAGTGGGAAACATGGTTGCAGGCTGCTCCAGCCTCCTTCTTCCAGCTCTCTGACTCCAAATTCTCAAGGCAAAAGTACTTTCCTATTTGGCTTTCCCTGAAAACAACTCCAGATGCTGGCAGGCCCAGTCTGGATATTTACCCTTCCCTAGACTAATCACTTTGACTAAAGAGGCAACTTTAGTTGTAAAAACCTTTGTGGCTTTTGGCTGGGCATGGCGACTCACACCTGTAATCCCAGCACTCTGGGAGGCCGAGATGGGTGGATTGGCAGCTCAACCAAAACCTCAAAGAATGAGGGAGAGGAATGGCCGGGGGAGGGGGTGTCTGCTCTAAGAAGGGGAAAAGGAAGCCGGAGAGATAACTCAATTGTCCACTGGACTTGGAGAGTTATTGTAACACACTTTGAAAATGGAACACTATTGTCCTGTCCCAGTATAAACTTCAGTGTAGCTGAAAGCAGGCTATGTGCTGAAGTTTTTCTAGCCAGGGTCTTGACAAGAATAGAGTGGGAGGAGAAATCTCAGAGCAGGCAGCCAATGTGACCAGGGATGCACAGCACAACCTTATCTCATGCTAAAAATATCAGGACTCTAATGGAAGGGAACCAAGTTAATGTCTCAGAAGTCACAGAGGATGTTTGGATGAGTTGTACATGGGAGTATTTTTCCAAGTCTTAGCACATAGACACCACCACACCTGTCTCAGGAACACTTAACCAAGGTCTTTTAGGACAAATCAAAGAACTTATCACTTAATACAGGTAATTTTTGGAACAAATTAGCCAACAAAGTGGTTCAGATTGAAAATATGATAGAACATTTAAGATAAATCCATAGATGCAAAAATCCATAATGAGAAGTCGTGAACGACCGTGTGACACTATGAAGTCTGTCCCGGAGGACAACTGCACTGGTCTTCCAGGACCCTCACTCTGGCCTTGTCAGGGGCAAAATACTGAGTAGATTAAGAGTCTCTCTACCCTTAGGGTTTACTTGTTTTTCAAGTAATATCTGACAAACAGACGAATCTGCAAAAGGGAGATCAAATCATCTTCAATAGTAGCATAATGTAAATTGATGATCTCAAAGCATGGTTCATGGTCCCTTTGGAATCTCCAAGCCCTTTTGAAAGATTCATAATGTCAAAACTATTTTCAAATCATGTGAAGGTACTTGTGGTAGTCAGTGTCCAAAGATGCCTCCAGTCACCGTAACCTCCTGGTATTCAGGCCCTTGTGTGGTCCCCTTCTCCATTCTATCAGGATTGGTCTGTGTGACCAGTAGAAGGTTGCAGAAAAGTGCAACTTCCAAGGTAAGGTTGTAAAATCCTTTGTGGCTTTTGGCCAGGCATGGTGACTCACGCCTGTAATCGCAGCACTCTGGGAGGCCAAGGTGGGTGGATCACCCGAGGTCAGGAGTTCGAGACCAGCCTGGCCAACATGGTGAAAACCTGTCTCTACTAAAAAGACAAAAATTAGCCGGGCATGGTGGTTGGGCGCCTGTAATCCCAGCTACTTGGGAGGCTGAGGCAGGAAAATCGCCTGAACCTGGAGGCAGAGGTTGCAGTGAGCCGAGATTGTGCCACTGAAAAAAAGAAAAAAGAAAAACCTTTGTGGCTTTTGTCTCATGCTTGGATCACTCACTTGGGGAGGAGTGGACTACAGTTTAGAACTTCTGGCCGGGCGCGGTGGCTCACGCCTGTAATCCTAGCACTTTGGGAGGCCGAGGCAGGCAGATCATGAGGTCAGGAGATCGAGACCATCCTGGCTAACACGGTTAAACCCTGTCTCTACTAAAAATACAAAAAATTAGCCGGGTGTGGTGACGGGCGCCTGTAGTCCCAGCTACTTGGGAGGCAGAGGCAGGAGAATGGCGTGAACCCGGGAAGTGGAGCTTGCAGTGAGCCGAGATCGTGCCACCGCACTCTAGCCTGGACGACAAAGCGAGATTCCGTCTCAAAAAAAAAAATAGAACTTCTAAGTTCTGGTATTTTGTTGTTTTGGATAAACGCACCAATTCTTGAAAAAAGGAGAGGTATTGGAAAGAACAATGGGCTGGCAGTCTGAAGACGTGAGTTCAAAGACCTCTTAGGCTTACCTACTTTGTGAGACCTCAGAAATGCCACATAGGCTGTCTGAGTCTGAGTTTTTTCATCTAGGAGGGAAAGATGCCTGGACCAAAGTGAGGTTCTTCTAGGAAGGAGGAAGAAAAGGAAATTTGGAAGGCAACCTGCAATGTCCACATCGGAGCTCCCCAATCTTTCTATTGCCTACTGTATACCAGCACTTTCCATGCATTATCTTTTAATACCACCTCGGTGAGGAAAGTATTCCTATCTCCATTGACAGGTGAGGGAACTGAGACTCAAAGGAGTTCAGCCCCAGGGTATATGTGCA